TCGGGCTGCGGCCTTCTCAGGTCTCCCACAGCCCTCTCCTTTTTATTGCTAAGACCTATCAGTCATTGCAGCAGCTACACAAGACTCACAGACCGTGCTCAGAGCTATGGGTTTATTTTGGAAGTTAACAGGTGACAATCCAGGTGGAAATGCTCAGGATACAATTGTTCCGTCGGGACCTGTTACTAAGTTCTTTGAGAGCCACTGGCAAATACCAAAGGTCAGATGGCATCTGCTCGAAGTCCGTCCCCCCCCATGAAGACACCCAGCACCAGCTCCGTGGGTCAGCAAACCCAGTTCCCTTAATTAAGTGCCCAAAGGCACCCCACGCCACATACCAGCCTCCTGCCTCAAAGCACTCGGTTTTACTTGCCCTGTGGAAGTCCATCTAGTTGACCTAAGGTCTTGTTCAATGACGTCTGGGCTCCCTCCAGGAGGAACACAGCTCCCCTCCACCCACCAGCTCTCCTGCTCCCACCTGGAGTCCGTGAACAGGTCAGATGTTGTCCCAGGAGCAGAGCACTCTCTGAGTCTCCAGCAGGAGAAGGGAAGAGGCCAGCAAGTGCCAGGTGCCCATGGGCTCCCCTGGGGCTCTGACTCTGCTCAGCAGAAATGTTGGGAGCCGGGCCTGTGGCAGCAATGAAGCAGGAGCTGCAGAAGCCTGGAAGCTCCGCTCTCCATCCTCCCAAGATTTCAGTCATGACAACCACATCCCAGTGGATGATTCAACCTGAGCAGAACAGGATGGCATCCAGGGGCAAGAACTCCTAGAAGAAACAGCCATTGGGCAGATGCTGTTTATCAGCTCGCAGAAGATAAAGTTGAGGCAGAAATATGTACCATAGTTTTCTACCGATATCTTTGCATACAAGAGGTCATACGAGTAATGTCTCACAGAAGACAGGGGATGATGGCAGCCAGCTGACTGGAGATCGTGTTTAGAGCATGTTGGACACGGATCACCCGGAAATGCCTGCTCACAGCCACCACCGTGAGGAAGAGGCTGTTGCTCTTGCAGTTCATGGCCAACATGAAGAGCATCAGGCAACAAGTGGTTTCCCTAGACTTCCCATTTCCTTGTACTCGGCTATCAGGAAAGGCATGTACAGAGGAAAGCCTTTCACAGTCAGGTGGAACAGGAAAATCTGGCTTGGTTTCCAGGGCTTGAGGTGAGAGCAGAAAGTCCACAGAGCAAGACTGCGGCCCAGGAGCCCCGACCCAACTCCACCGCCCACACTGGCTGCTTCACACGGATGACGCAGCCCCCAGAAACACACAGCAGCTCCGGTGTGTTTTGAGACAAACCACTGGCATTCCCAGCCACGAATATACCTGGTGTTTCTCACAGAGCAACTCTCCCAGGAAAAATCTCCAGGAGAGAGGTGTGTCCGTGTGGCTGTGGGAAAGGTGTGGTTAACGCCTGCCTTGCTCTCACTGTCTTGCTCTCACGTGTTGAAATACATGACCACAAAATAGAGTGGGGATGGACATCAGGGACATGGGCTGAGGACTGACCCTGGTCTCTCCCTACCCCCAGAGCAAACCCACTGCCCTGCAGTCAGTTCACACTCATAGTGACTCTCGAGAACAGGGCAGAAGTGTTCCCTAGGGCTTCCGAGACTATAACACTTCGAAGGAGCTGCCAGGCTCATCAGTTCCCTGAGAAGCAGCTGGAGGATTTGAACTGCTGACTTCCCAGTGAGTAACCCAACCGTTGTGCACAGATCAACGGACAGATGTGAATGGTTGAGTTGTGAACAATCAGAAACCACCTTGTCTGCTGCAAGCATCGAATTTTCATAACCCGACACCCTGCTGACTCAGACATGAGGCTGGGGGGGTGGGGAGAGTCCCTGCCTTCCTCTGTGGGCCATCTCTTCCTCGTTAGGATGGTTCCCCGCATGTAACTTTCTGTCCCTCACGATGCCACTCAGAGACGCAGCGAGCAGTCACTTCGGCATATTTGAGGAATTAAAAACCTAAGTTTTTCTATCTTCATCCATCGGCGCCCGTGGCTGGTGTCTGAGCGGCTGCGTAGCTCGTCTGCAGCCCAGTCTGAAGGTCAAGGCAAGCCTCCTCTTGTTAAAGAACAGAGACCGACGGAAGCTGGAAGCAAGAGAGAACCTGACAGAAACCTGCATGGATCAGCTTTTCCACCACAGACCTGGCTACTGAAACCGACCCGGGGAGCCATCTCCTCCTGCTCCTGCAGAACCAGGCCGCCTCTGGCCAGACTGCTTCGTTACCAGACAGACACATTCACCAGACCCTGACGGGGGTTTTCATGCACTCCCCAGCTATCCTTCCCATGAAGTTGTTCTTTTTATAGCGCTTATTTGTTCCCGGTCCTTGTCCCACGCATAGGTCATTTTTACTTTACGGCCTCATGCTGTAGCTCAGGAGGGCCCCTGGCCCGTTGCCCCGCTCAGTGCCTGGTTTCTCTCCCAGGACGCCGTGAGCAACCCCTCTTAAGCAAGAAGTCCGTTTCTGTGAACCATGACCCAGACATATGGCACACCAGACTGTGTCTCACATCCAAGTTTATTGCGGTGGTGGGGCGACTCTCAGTGCAGAAGCACGCAGTGGGGGCACAGGCAGCAGGGAACCTTCCCCCTTAGACTATTGGGCATCAGGGCCCGTCCTCTCTTAGGGGAACAAGCAAGCACCAGTGGGACATTGCTTTCATTCTGAAGCCATTTTTAAACTGCTCTGCCCTCAACTGGGTGTAAATTCAGTCCCCGTGTGGAGTACAAAGGTCATTGTCCTTTCTCTGAACACCACTCATCCCTTTCTTACCACCGCGGGCCACTCAGAGAGCAACCACAGCTCCGGAGTCTCTCTCCCAGTCTGTCTGCTTCAACGTGGCACATTGATGAATTGGTCTCAGTGAGCCCCATTGACCTACGGTCTTGTTCAATGACATCTGGGCTCCCTCCAGGAGGAACACAGCTCCCCTTCACCCACCAGCTCTCCTGCTCCCACCTGGAGTCCGTGAACAGGTCAGATATTGCCCCAGGAGCCGATCACGCTCTGAGTCTCCGGCAGGAGAAGGGAGGAGGCCAGCAAGTGCCAGGTGCCCATGGGCTCCCCTGGGGCTCTGGCTCTGCTCAGCAGAAATGTTGGGAGCCGGGCCTGTGGCAGCGATGAAGCAGGAGCTACAGAAGCCTGGAAGCTTCGCTCTCCGTTCCCCCAAGATTTCGGTCGTGACAACCACATCCCAGTGGTTCGCTGGCCCACACTGGTTCTCTGAGGTCCCTGGAGAGCTCGGGCCCGATGTCATTCTGCACAGCAGCGAAGCCGTGCTTGTGGAGCGTGGTTCTTGGTGACGTTGCTTCCAGGATGAGTTGGGGTCAGTTAATGGGGGCTCCATGGCTCACTAGAGTTGGCCATTAGTGCTTCCGGAGCATTCCTTGTGGAGATGTTATCTTCTGTGAGCTCCAAGCTTGTACTCCGGTTATTGTCTGGTTCCGCCCGTCCTTTTTTCCGGCGGCAGCGGCTCAGCACGGTGGAGAAGAAGCTAGGGAAGGAGGGGCTGGAGAAGTAGTACACCAGGGGGTCCAGCATGCTGTTCATGTAGGTGAAGCTGAGGGTCATGAAAAACGCCAAGTCGATTGAGCGATAGGGGCTGCAATCCTGTATCCCCACTGTGTGCAGGAGCCAGAAAATGCCAATCCTCACGGCCACGCTGGGCAGGAAGCAGATGATGAAGACGATGGCCACCACCAGGAGGAAGCGGATGGCTCTCTTGATCTTGGCCTGC